AACCAGTCAGTACTGCCCATGCATAAAGAGAAACAAAAGGTAAGCCCAGAAATGTCTCAGTATACTTTGGGATTTCTTCTGGACCTGAAAGCACAAAGGAAATCCATGTGTATTGTTACTATTTGTCATCATTCAACTATTTTCAAAGGTCTGGGTATCTGTGCATGGATGGGGTGCATCAGGCAAAGCATCATCAGCCAGTTGAGGAAGGTGATTGTCCTGCTCTGTTCTGCACTGGTGCGGCCTCACTTTGAATATTTTGTGCAGTTTTGGGCACTGCAATATAAGAAAGATATTAAGCTCTTAGAGAGTGTCCAAAGTGGGCAACGAAGAGGGTGAAGGGCCTTGAGGGGAAGCCATGTGAGGAGTGGCTGAGGTCTCTTGGTCTGTTCAGCCTGGAGAAGAGGAGACTGAGGGGAGACCTAATCCCAGTCTACAACTTCCTCCTCAGAGGAAGAGGAGGGGCAGGCACTGATCTCCTCTCTGGTGACCTCTGGTGACAGAACCCGAGAGAATGGCCTGAAGTTGTGTCAGAGCAGGTTTAGGTTGGATATTAGAAAAAGGCTCTTCACCCAGAGGGTGGCTGGGCACCGGAATGGGCTCCCCAGGAAAGTGGTCACAGCACCAAACCTGACAGAGTTCAATAAGCATTTGGATGATACTGTCAGGCACATGGTGTGACTCTTGGGGATGGTACAGTGAGGAGCCAAGAGTTAGACTCAATGATCCTTGTGGGTCCCTTCCAACTTAGCATATTCTGTGATTCTGTTTATTATTCCCAATTGTAGAGTGAAAGCAAGAAACTTCAGATCCTATAAAAATGAGTTCTCCAAACAATATGTAATAAATGCGGCTACAAAACCCCACATCTCAACATGTTATGTGGTGAAGACGTGGATCATGTGGATTTAAGGGAACTAATTTTAGACTGACTTTTAAACTATTTTTAAGCACAAATAGTCTCACGGAATATAGTGAGAATCTTAGTACATTTAAATAGTTAATATTAAACACCTGCTCAAGATCCTTGATGCTTCAGTAGCCAACTCACCTTTCATGTTGTGTGAGAAAGCAGACTTACCATAACTCTTCAGCTGTGCAGAGCAGGCAGTGCAGCACAACTTCGGCACTGATATGATGCAGGAAGGCTGAGGGATGGAGGGAGATTGGAGCTTGAGGTGATCTAATATTCCTCAACTTCCCACCTTCCTTTGCCTCTCGTATGCTCTGGCACTGCCTAAAGCTGCAGACATGTTTCTGTCATATGCCATTCACTTAGGAGTCATGCACCTATGCCAAGCACTTTCTGTTCAGATCATGGCCACTTCCATTCCCATAGATAGTGCCATTAGCCTATGGCTTGGAAAGCATGTTTGATGTCATTTGACCCAGCAGGGGCTTTTCCAGATGATTTAAGGCATGGTATTAACAAGCTGCGAAAGTAGTTTCAGCTAGCCCTTTTTAGCTATGTGGATGATAACTTCAAAGCACTGAAAATAGGAGTAAGCAGAGAGAAGAAAAATCTTCCAAGATTCTAGCAGCATGGACAGGAATCCTCTGTATGGGAAGCCATGACCATAATAACATTATAATGACTAACACCTCAATGTTATCAGAGTGTCTGTTGTGAAGCAAATGACTCAGACACAAAGTTAAGTTCATACACAGCATCTGCAGTTACTGTGTATACTCTTAGCCTGCAGCAAAAAAGCCAAATACATTTATTTAAGTCTCACTGCAAATGGTTTAAGTGAATGTTTCTCTCACATTTGCAAAGACTTGGATTGTGTTTACATTTACCACAGCTCAGTGGACACATGATAGTATGAGGAGACACAACTGAAAGTGTCTGATCTCTTACTCTATTTTTCAGCAAATCTTTTGCGCACACAGGAAACTGAGTGAGCCTAAGAGATGCTCCTAAGTTTACTGTTAGATCATTACCAGATTTTCTGAACCTTCAAGTGCCCAGTAGCTGTGGACAGTGTAGAATGTACCTTGCAAATAATAAAAGTAACTGGAAGTCCTGGAGGCATACTTTGCATGTGCAATTGCCATATTGACAGGTTTATATACAAGCATGCCATTTTAACAACAGCAAAACATGGATGGATATACCATGATATACTGTGATATATCATGCCATAGGATATAGGTAATTATTGTTGGTGCTATTATATAGGGCTTAAAGATATCTTCACATGATTAAGTTCTCTAGCTTTTAAAGAATTGTTGCTATAACCAACTCTTTCACCACACTGATACAAGCACTTCGTTCTTCTCCTGTTTAATATTAACCATAATATCATGTAATAAAATTGAAACAAAAGTGCCATAGACCTAATTGTACTGTCACAGCCATGTAAATCAGAAATAGCTTCAGTAAAGCTACTGTTATTACGGTGGTGTAAAATTGATATAAATTAGAAATTACTTGGATACTGTAGCTCTGCTTTCAGATAACACTATGTAAAGGCCTCACTTAAACTCCCGTATAAGTGCAATTATGAGTGCAATTCTCCTTACCTCATCATATTAAATGGCATTGTATCAAAAAAGAACAATATTTGTGAGGGATGACTTAATCAGATAGATCAAGGCAAGTTAATGTTTTAGGGCCAGATTCTGAGCTGTATTGACTTCTATGAAGTTAATGCAGACCTACATAGGTAAATAACATACCATCACTTCCAAAAAACTGAATTGCCTAGCTGTTATAAAATGTAAAATAAGAACCCTGACTTTAGGTAGATCTTTTGGTTTGGTTTTGTTTGGATTTCTTCTGATGTGACATTAGGCTAATGAACAGCATTAAAAAGGAAATGTGCCAGACGTGGTGGTTACATCAAGAACTATGAAGGAAACTAGCAATGAACTCTAGGAAAATAAATAAGGGCAAGTTCAGGAAACGTTAGTGAAAATGCAGCTCTGGTATAAATTGAATAATAAAATTCCTGGTCATATTTTGTCATAAATAGAGGTTTGGGAATTCGTCATTCACATTATTTAAAATTCAGAAATATTAAAGATACAGGGTTCTCTTATTATAGAAGTAATAGACTTCTAGCTATTATAGAGTTAGGGTAATTTAAATAGCTATAGAATGCATTATATCAGTAAGTGGAACATCTGTATGAAATGTCCACCTGCTAATATACTACTCAGTTTACTTTACAATCAAATGTACTTAATCATTTTAAGATGTCTTCTAATGAAGGCTTATCGGGAATAATGCTTTGAACAGAAATACTTTTAGGAATTAAAACTTCTGCTTTAAATGAGATTTCATTGCCTTGTTTACCCTTGTTGATTAATAAGCAATCTGTTAACTGTTAGGATGGCCCAGTTGTGCCAGTGAAAATAGACTAGTAATTCAGCTATGTTTGTGGGCGTAATCATCATTTCTCTTGAAGGCTTTAAAAAAAAGAAGTCTTTTGCACACTATCCGTAGGCAAAGAAAAGGCATATGTTTTTAGATGTGCATACCACTGTTTTGCTTCAGACTTGCAGCTTAATATTAATGATCAAACACAGCAGCAAAATACTCCTTTGAGTTACAACATTTCTAAGTATAAATTCCATTTTCTAAAGAAACAGTGACATGAAAATCTGGAACTAGAATTCACTTTCTATAGAATTTTGTTTTGCTAATAACAAAGGTAGATCAGGAAGGTAGATCCGGATTTTTTATCAGTCAATGCTTGTGAACAGCTTTGAGAGATGTAGTGGCTTTTTTCGTTTGCTTATTATCATTAACTGGAAGTTTAAAGGCAAACACCCTGCCTTCAGAAAAGATGATAGTTCAGATTTTCTCATGGGGTCATGCACTTTCATCTGTGGCATCCCACAGAGGGAAACAGATGTTGGCAAGTTACAATTTAAATTATCTGGAAAGCTCCCACGTGTAGAGCACAGTCCTGTTAGATTCAGGAGTAGCACAACCCTTTGATAATAGTTGAATACTGGAGTCATGCAATGCTATAAAAGTATAGGGTCTCAGAAACTGGGCTGAAGCCATAATCCTTGGATGCATTTGTGCCTTCTATACCCCAGCTTCATAGATTTTGTTATTAATATACATTATGAGAGAATAAAATTGTGATTTGATGTTGAATGACATTAGAGTACAGTCATGGATAAAACCATGCTTGAAAGTACCCCATGCTATTAACTGCTTTCAGGTAGTACATCTCTCTCTAGTTCTGTCTGCTGTGTAGGATGCATAATTTTTACTACTGTTCAATAAGATTCTCAGTGAGGTTTCTTGGGTTTCTGGAGTAGAACCAACAGATCCTGGCTCACATCGTTTCAATATTAGGACTTAGCGATTGTCTCTATCAACCAGCTTATGTCAAACTGCATTCTCAGTAGCACTGGAATCAGTATGATGAAATAAATACAGTGAATTACTCATCTTCAAGGACGATACAGTTATCACAGTATTCCTATATTTAATCGAATATGAAACTACTCTGGAAATATGTTATGATAACAAAAAACATCTGTAAAAAATTCTATACTGAATTTTGTGCTTTCTTGATGTTTCTCCTGTGACAGACTGTATAGGACCCATAATTTCTATTGTTTTCTTTCTAAAAATACACATATTCAGATTGCATGACTATGATTTTTTCACTGTAGAATTTCTGAAGTTGATTACTGTCAAGGTAACTCATTTCAGATATGTCCCAATTGAATGAAAAAGAAATTAAGAATAAACCAGTTTACGTCATTAAACCTTCGGCATTATTGAGACAGTTAGTTATATATGGCATTTGTTTGAAGAAGACTGAACATAATGTTACACCTTCTGTGCTATTAAGACTGTATTTATCTGAAAATAAAACACTAAGCTTTGACACTAAAGTATGGGAATTTATGGAAGAGCTGAAAAAAGTATTGCAAGACAGAGATTGGGCACCATTAAATATCAGATAATACTTAATGTTTCAATTTGCAAAGAATTCCACACTGACATCTGTTGTTTGTCTATCCTGCAGTCTTTATGCTGTGAGATCAAACAGAGACGTCGTGGGGTAGCCTCTGTGCTGCGATTATGCCAGCACCTCCTGGATGATCAGGAGACCTGCAACCTAAATGCAGATCACCAGTCCATGCAGTTGATAATTGTAAACCTCGAGAGAAGGTGGGAAGCTATTGTCATGCAAGCTGTCCAGTGGCAAACAAGGCTACAGAAGCGATTAGAAAAAGACTCGGTGAGTAATGCTTGCTCTAAAAGTGCAGGGTTTCATTCTTCGTGAGAGGCACTTTTTTCAGCAAAAGACAAACACATCCATTTCCAAGCATTTTCTTCTGACTGAAGATGCCATTCCTAGTCTTTACTGCCAACAAGTGAATCTTCAGTTTTTCACAAAGCATTGTATTCTATGGACAAAATTGATTAGTAATATAAACTCACAATATACATAATCTATTTACTGGATATTTAATCTCATCATGTCTGATCCCATGAAGCAATAAAAACAATCTTCTCTTGGTGCTATGTTGCTCAGGACCTAACAGAACTGGGCCCAGGTAAAATTTTACTGATTGAAAATATATTTTAGAAAAAGTATTTCCTGTGTAGCTAAGACTGGTTTTAATTAACATCCCAGCAGTAGATGTGTATTTCACATAGAATGCCACGGGTATGTGATTAATATACAATCCTGTGTTATTTGAATATAAGTAAAATGCAATAATTTGCTTTTATCTCAGGGAAATGATTCCTAAGAGGCAAAATAGCACTCTGTTTAAACCATCCATTAAGTGGCATGAATTAGATTGGTTTTCTACAGCATAAAACTATATTACAAAGCAGGAGGAACAAAATAATCCCTACTCTAACACCATGGACTGTAATGGATGAATTGGCTCAGTGTGTTTTGTGCTACTATCATACTGCTGAAGTCTGTATACTGCAGCTACATTGACAGCAATGATAATCCTATGTAGTTCATATAGTGAAGAACCTTAATGAGATTTGAGAACAAGTGACATAATTTTTTAGATTTATACCAAGCAGAGCAAAGGAAAAAAATGCTTGACACTTACATCCTTCCTAATAGTTATCTGACTAATTGTGAAATACTACTTTTGACTTCCTTTTTGTTGAAATTCCTTTAAAAAAATAACAGAAGCTGTAATTCTCTGGTTCAGTTATGGTACTATAGTATGAAGATATATAAGGCATTGTTCAGAAACACTAGCAGTTCCTGAGTGTAAATACTATTAATCTAAAGGGGCCAAGAAATTATGAGTTAGCGAGGAGAATGCTTGCCTGCCTTTATCAAAAGTTATAACATAGAAGTGGTCCTATATCCATTTGATTTATTGGCTGTTTTTCTTTAGGTATTGAGATAGAAGTGGGACTTAATGAAGGAAGAGGTGTGAATAGACTATCAGGATAAGTCAAAAGGGGCATGTCTCTGTATGAGTCAACATGGAAGGGAGACATCACTGAAAAGCAGATGTAGTGCCAACATTGGTTTTATAAGCATGGGATTAGTCAACTGACAATATAAAAAGTGTAGATAATTGAGGAGAGTCAGTTATGCCATCAAAAATTTGACCTGGTTGGAAGTAGTGTAAAAATGATGAAGCTACATGCAAGTGTACAAGGGTATAGAGAAATCATTAATTTTCTGCCTTTCCTTATACATCTGTGTGCAGAGAGGCAAGTGTTGACTGAAGAGGAATGCCATTGGAAACAACAAAAATCATCTAAGAGCTTGCACTATATGATCCGTAGAAAAATGTCAAATCTTAGTGATGCTAAGATTTCTCTCAAAGAGCTAGTAAAAGCTGTAGATGTCACAGCTGATGCAGATTACCAGAGGGAGAACAGTCATACTGAAAAAGCATGAAGAAAAGAAATCTGGGGAGAAAAGAGCAAGAATTCCATTTTGTTTGTGCTTAGTTTATGTTAGTGGACACTAAGAAGAGTGGGGTTAGATGAAAGGAGTTTGTTTGAGCCCTCTGTCCATAGATGGGAACTGCAGTATATTATCATTTAAAAAGGGGAAATGGAATGTATATTATCATCTAAAAAGGAGAAAGGGAAGCAGGTAAGGTAAAAGGCTGTTTGAGTCTTGTGAAAAACAGAAGATGAAGGAAAAACAATTAACAAAAAAAACCCCAGAGGGTGAAAGCAAGAACAGGTAGCCCCTGAGGTGTACATAGAAATTGTCTGAGCATTAAATGTGGCCAGGGACATGGGGGGCCACAAAGAAAAGCTTCTATAGGTACATTTGTGATAAAAGAAAGACTGGGGAAAATTTAGTCCCTCTCCAGTAGGAAATGGGAGACCTGAGTACTTGGGCTGAGGTACTCAACGACTATTTTGACTTAGTCAACATTGGCAAGTGCTCCAGCCACATTGCTCTAGATGCAGAAGTCAAAAGCAGAGACTGGGAGAATGAGAACCTCGTGCTGTAGAAGATTAGATTCAAGGCCATCTAAGGCACTTGAAAGTACACAAGTCCATGGGATCTGCTGAGATGCATCTGGGGGTCTTCAGGGAACTGGCAGATGTAGTGGCTAAGCCACTATTCATCATATATGAGAAATTGTGGCAGTCCAGTGAAGTTCCTCCTGACAGAAAAAGGAGAAACAGAGCCTCCATTTTTATAAAGGGAAAAAAGAAGACCTGGGGAAATATAGGCTAGTCAGTGTTATCTCTGTGCCTGGCAAGATCATGGAGCAGATCCTCCTGGAAACATCTTTGTCAGTGATGTGGACAGGGGAACTGAGTGCACCCTCAGCAAGTTTGCCAATGACATTAAGCTGTATGGTGCAGTTGACATGCTATAGAGAAGGGCTGTCATCCAGAGGGACCTTGACAGGCTTGGTAGGTGGGTCTTTGTGAACCTCATGAAATCCAAAAAGGTCAAATGCAAGGTCCCGCAGGTGGGTTGGGGCAATCCGAAACACAAATACAGGCTGGGCAGAGAGGGTTGAGAGCAGCCCTGAGTAGAGGGATAAAGATAGATAAAAAATAGTCTAGAGAGCAAAAAAATCAAAGGAATTAATTTGTTGAGAGTCTGTTCAAGTGGAGTCAAAAGTAAAACAAAGTTGGTAAAACAAAGATTGTGAGAAAATGTTAGAAAAATTTCAGTGGAATTAAAAGAAAAAACAGAATTAGTGAGGATCCAGAGCTTTGGAGAAAATGTGGGTAGGAGTTTTAGACAATACATTACATTTAAATCAGAGGAAAGTCAAGAAATGAAAGAAGAAAAATGCCATCTCAAAAACTGCAGAGAGTTTTGATGGTAATGAGTCTGAGAGAGCAAGCAATGTGAACAGAAGTAAGAGAACTCATTAATTAAATAGGCTGGGCAAGTGAATGGGTTAGAAGATAAATATGAGACAGGAATAGAAAAGATTGATAAAGAAAGAAAATATCGTAGGAAACATTTTTTATTCTCTTGAGAAACACTGGTGATATTTTTGTGGTAGTTCCATTTTTGGTATATTTTTAGTCATATTACTAATGTATTGCAGCAATAGCTCTAGTAAACTTGGAAAGTGTTACACAAAATGTTTAATGATCTGACCAGCAGTTGAAAAACCTGTTGAATTTTGGAGCTTCAGATATAAGCGTGTGCAGTATTACCAACAAAGAAACAAAAAGTAGCTCTCAGAATCCTGAATTTTATTTATTAGAGTCTGAGTATCTGTTGGGCAAGCAATCTGTTGGGTCTATAAGAGCCCAAGAGAGATCGGACTAGGTTCCAACTGTGTAAAATACCAAAAGATGAGGGACTGCCTTTTTAATCTGCAAAACATCATTTTGTTGTAGTAAATATATGTCTTCTATTTGACTAGGAACAGAAAGAAGTTGCATTTGTGAGATATCTTAGAAAGTGCTGAACAAAGATCCAAGTTACTGTAGTGAAATCATATTATCCTCTTTTGCATGGGGGCACCTGCTGTGTGGAAAGCAGTTTACTGGTTGTACTTGCAGTTACTGTAAATAAACTGTTATGAGCTAATTAGAGCTTGGAATTTCACCGGCTGGGTGTGTATCATTCTTTCTGCTGAGAAGTAGCAGCCATTTAGAGATATCATGATGCTCATCTAATTTTCATTGTGGGCTGTTTTGTTTCAGAACATCTCATCCTAGGCTGCTTTATAACACTATGATTTTTTGAAGTATGTCAGTATAAACAAGCTTCTTTTGTTAATAAAACTCTCTGTATTCTCAACATTTAAATGTGACCCAGCCACTGTAGGATTCATGTTTCTTCGACTTCCCTGGCCCTACTTGGCATATTCTTACCCTCCTTTTCACTCAGGTCCTGTGCAGTCATTTCTTGGGTAGGTATCAGAACCATTTCTTCTCCTTCCCTATCTCTCTGTATTTGATGGTGTGCCAGTCTTGGCACACAAAATGTATCTCTTGGTAACAAGTTTTTATTTGTGGTTGCCCACAAAATAGTGTAATTTATGAAAACAAATGAGATGTTTTTATACCCTGATGGCATCTGGCTCATTCAAGGCATCTGACTTGCTGACAGTAAATAAGGTACCCCAAAAAAGGTACACCTTTTGCAATAGTGGGCATGATAATTTTACAAATAACAAGATATTTAGATGTACTTCAAGCACCTAAAATTTGCTAAAAGTTGTCTTTCTCATAAACAAAAAGTTCTGTCTAGAATGTGAAATTATCAATAAGAATCACTCCAGAAGGATGAAAGGTGGTTAGATTCAGTAGGTTAATCTAACTATATGGAGTGAAGTATTCATAGAATCAAAAATACAGAATACTGGAAGCAGTCCTAATATGTTACAGCAAAAGAGGTTTTTATCTCCTCCATCTGTTTGTTTGGTTTTGGTGGGTTTCTTTGTTTTGGTTTGGTTTTTTGTTAAAAATTCTTTTCATCCAGATTCATAATTCCATATTTTGCTGATATAATGTTACATATCACCTAAATTTTAACTGGAATTACACAGATGTAGTACAGCTTGCCTAACAAGACCCTGCTAGCAATCAACTTCAAAGGAAAAAGAGTCTGTCTGGCGATTGCAATAACAATAGCAACAATCTTATAGCCAACTAAACTCAAAATTGCCATCTAAAATTCCTGCTCAAGAGCTGGAGAAGCTTTAACTCACTGTGCACTTTCCTTTAGAAGGTCTAATCTACTTGAAAGACTGAACAGTTAAAAAGGATTTGGGACAGACTCAGTTATGGTCACGCCCATAAGTTTAC